ACTCTCACATGATATGAATTTTAATATTTCGTTTAATAGCATCACTTGACCAATTTCTGTTGCCTCAAATTCAAATTTCTTGTCATCATTAGCTGATACTTTCAAAAAATGCAATTCTTTAAAATTTGTCAATGCAGCACAGATGAATTTGCGATTTGGTGAGAAACGCAGAGTTTTGAAACAATATAAAAATAGTTGTTGTTTGTCTGCTTCCGTGATAATATAAATATTTGATTTAGATTCACGTTGTGTTTTCAATTCAATCAATGAAACAATGTTCCATGGAACAAAACCTTGTTCACTATTTATTGACGATCTTTCACTCAACAAACAAATATCGGGAATTTTATTTGTGAATGATTTTGTAAAATATGAATTACCATAACCAGATGTAGATATCATTTTTGATGACAAGCATGTTTCATTTTCAATGACTTTATTTATTACTTTTGTGATTTGTTCTTCTGAATAAAATTCTTTACCGTCAATCATTTCTCGAATTTGCATTACTGAATTGCTATGTAAGTTTAATAGACTAGTTTGACCAGATATTAATAAAAAATCTTCTAATGACTCACAATAAACTGACCTATAAGCAACATTAAATGTACATTTCGTTGAGGAATTTGAAACTTCGGAAGACCTTTGATCCATAGATATTTGATCTAGAAAACAAATAGTAAACTGATTCTATTGAACTTGAATAGTAAACTGATTCTATTGCTTCGAACTTAGTCCTGAGTGATTGTGCACCCATATGTTGAAATTCGCTCACTTCTCAGTTCATATCGAGTCTCTTTTTTCTACTAAAATAACATCGTGGAAGAGGTCTAACTGCATACACACACATCTGGTTGCAGTCGACCAACTGCTTTAGTTTGGCCTTAACTCATATCTGCAGTGTCAGATAATTCGCTCTTTTCGTTCTTCATCAGAAAAACAGAATATTTCTGCTAAAACAAGCTCTAAAACAGTATCTTCAATAAACATTAATTTTATAAAAGAATTTCTTATTTGGTATTCTAATAATGTAACACTGCTGTCAGTTGTTTTCTAACGATACATAAAAGTTTCACGTATGAACAAAGACACGCAGCCAATGAAACAATTGTAACGAAAACCGATCATTCAGAGATTAAGCTGGAAAATTCAAAACAACATTTAGAAAAAAATAATAATCACTATTTCCGAGAGAAAAGTACTAGATGCTTTGTAATAACATTGTAACGAAAACCGATGTTTTGGGATGAATTCTGAATATTTTGAGATTAGGGAAAAAGCTTGAAAACTCGAAGTTTTGTAAGTCTTGATTCTGATCGTTTTTATACGGAAACAAAGTCTGCCACCAGGTTCAGCATGGTGCATTACGATATTCCATGCGATTTCAAGATTACTCCAAGCCATCAGGTACCAATTCAACTCGACACACGCATGAATCACTGAAAATCAAGGTCTCACTTGGTCTCCCATCTTGAAGGGAACACTTCGAACTGTCTACGCACATAAAATAATCACTATATTGTCACTTCAGTTTTGGGAGAAGCAGATTGGTTTCAAAAACTCCTCGTGAAGCTTACTTTTGAAAAAGATTTTAGAACTTATTTTACTGACAAAATGACCTTCCTGGATCTCTTCTATTGAACAACAGGACTTCCAGCGCAGTATTCCCAAGGGTATGGCATTTAGAGCAATTGCTAGAGTCGATCTAGTATTCTATAAAGGAGATAGTTTGACACCTACTCTCTGTGCGACAAACAGGATCGAACTGCACTGTGCTATATCCTAGAGGTTAACTACGGTCATAGAGATATTACACTTCTGGATATTTGGACAAGAATATTTATTAATCCGTATGCATTATTCTGACATCTCTACGTAGTCACGTGAATAATCGAGTTCATATACATTCTAAATAACAAAGGTTTACGCTGCTTCTCTGTACCTTCGATCTTATACTCTTCTCTTTGATCGAAAAAACTCAACTTCGTTCAAAACACGGATCCTGTCGAAAGAACTGAACAGTACTTTCAAGTTCAATTGCGCAATCTCGAGCAGAATATCCCTTTTTCTTTCTACTTTCTCTTCTCAGCGCAGAAAGCTGAAGTCAACATTAGCGCAAAACCGACTTTTTATACTGATTGATTTGAATCAAGAGATACTTTGCTGCCCGTCGATTCACATAATAAGCTCTTCAGAAAAAAAATTTGGACCGATTCTGTTCCCCGTATAAAAAGTCGATTTTCCCTTGACTTTAGTCTAGGGTCTTACAAAATGGTTGTCTGTGTATAATATATGTATATTAGTGTGAGTATGTATGTGTTTGTATGTATGGGTAAATACCCTACATCGGAAACACAAATCACTTATGAAAAGTAATTTTTTAAAAAAAATTAATAGACTTTTTGGTAACCTAATGGTTCTACGACTAAGAGAATGTCTTTTTTCAATCTAACCTTGAGCATCTAATAAGCTCCGTTTTTCAGATCGGTTCTAGTGGAAGGATTCATATGGTACTGCTGAACTGTCTCATTTCCGTCGATGAGTAATGTTATCTTTATTAAGAATTGGCTGTAACACCTCTCGCCAATAGTCTTCCCTAGCTTGTCGATGTTCTAAACCTTGGTATCCACTTTCAAACGGAATGATTTCTAGATCTCTCATTGAGTGATTGTGAG